TGCAGACAGTTGTTGATGTGTATCGATCTTAAAACTGATGCACAGTGCCATGTTGAGGGCATTGCTGCGCTCGCATCCACTACAATTTTGGATCAGCATGCCACATTGTCTGTCTCAAGTGGGGCCTGTATATGCAGTTAAAGTTGGCAACCTGCTGTTCAATGAGAAGAAGAGGGTAGGTTGCGGTAAGTTACACTTTGGTTTAAAGCAGCCCTGCCTCAACGAATTGCCAACTTTACGCACGTTCGAACACACCTTGAGACCGCAGATGTTCCGTGCCCATGATTCAACTGGCTCAAGGTTCGCAAAGGGTTGGCTGCTATGCGAAATGCACATCAGAGCGATCCAACCTACGCAAAGCCTGCAGAGAGCACGAGGGCGATCCTACTCCATTGTAAAGTGAAATTTCTTGGCGCAGTGCAACGCTTGATAGCCAAAAGTAAACTCTCTGTGGACTTTGGGTGGGTTGGATCGCTGTAGTTGTTCTCCCAGATTCTCCTGCTGGGTTTGCTTCAAGATACGCGAGAAATGTGCACATCCTCCTTTTGTTTCGCATTTGGATCTGCTGGGGGTGTGATCGCCATCTATCAGGTCAACTGTTGATAGCAACTGTTGCTATTCGTGATAATTCTGTTCTGGGTGAGGTCCAGGTCACTAATGAGGGTTGCAACTTCTAAACACCAGGTGATTGATGTGGGTGACGAGCTGAGGCAATGAGCGAGCGCTGGAAAGACAGGAGGTGCCCAACAGATGTCAGCCGAAGTTTCTTCTAAAACGCGCCACCCACCCCTGGTTGTCGAAGTCTGCGAAAACTAGGCTACGGTCGCACTAGGTCGAGATTTGGTGCATTTGAACTGAGTTGAGCATTTGAACTGCCTCATAAATTTGCCTTCTCCAGCTTTGACGCTCAGACCTTGGCAAGCAGGCGCCAGCAATCAGACGCCCATGGCTGCTTCAGGTGTCAGCTTTCCTTTGAAAAAGTTGTTTCGCAGCAATTGGCATTTCCTTAGAGCAGTGGGGTCAAAACGGAACCGGTGGAGGCCGCCTTTGGAAGTGCCGCCTGAAGTCCATTCAGTGTCCACTCAGTCCTTACTTGGGCGCAGGGTTCTTGTTGTGAGCGGGAAAAAAAAGTTCTGAGCAGAAAGGGAGAGTGGGCTTGTTGACAGCAAGCTCTGTGCTTCAAACTTCCTGGCAGTTTGCCCCAAATCAGCAGCAGCTGCCCACTGCCCGCCCAGCTTCTCGCCGGTTCACCTTCGAGCGCGAAAGGGCTGTAAACAGGCCGGTTCAGCAAATGCTGCACAAATGCAAAACAGAGTCCAAGCGGTTCTCCGCCTCGCGACTTGCCTCTCACACAGCTGCTGTTGCGCGTCGGATGGTTATGTTTGCTTTGTCCAACACCCTGGTTGAGACGAACGTTTTTGATGGTGTCCTCACATTGCCTCACAGATTGACAAAGTTGAGTTTCGCTCGATGTGAACTGCGACAGCACGGCCAAAGGACACGGATCGGCTGAATTCCGGGCCCCTTGGAGCAATCCCCAGTTGCACGTGCCGTTTACTCCTCGGCCCGGCATGTCAGCTTTGCCGGTGAGCGTAATCCTGCTTACATCGTCCGCAGAGGTGGGGTGGGCACGGGACTAGGCGGTCTTGCTCAACTACATGGTGAACCTGCAAGCTGTAAGGCAGGCCAAAAACCATTCAGACAATTTCCTGCGCGCCGGACAACAGGGGCTGGTGGCTCACAACCTAACGTCACGACAGGCCTGCTGGCTTGCTCTAGTGGGTCGCAGTCTGAGCGCAGGTGTTTCGTCGGGGCAGTGAAGTGAACTAGTTCCGCAACTGGCCGCGCTGAAGCTGGGAAATGTCAGAGGAGCGCGTTGCGCCTTGCGCTGTGCGACTCGTTCCCCGAATCTTCACCTCAAAGCCGTGCCGTGTGCTCTCCTCACGAACGACTCATCTGATGCGCAGCAGGTGCGTTCCAGCTCTCGCCTTAATGTACTGGCGTCGCGGTTCAGATCGGTTCAGACAGCCGACCACGCTGCAAGGTGTCCAGCACAGCAGGTTTTGTCTTTGAAGTGAAAATTCAGACCAACCTGTTGCTTAGAGGTGTGTTATAGCAGGGCCGCATGCAGAAGAGTATTGTTTCAGGTACCCTTTATTTGGTGGTATGCATTGGTAGGTTCCTTTACAAGCCAAATCGGGCCACTTGCATAGGGGTGAGGAAGAAGTACCTGGCGTTGGATCGAACACCTCCCATTTTGTGGCGCACCAGAAGTGGATCCCAGTGGACAATAGGCGAGCCACTGAGCCGAGTTACCCAGTCCCGTTGCCAGGTACAACGGGCATCCAGTCATCGAGACCTACTGGGGCGCTTACTGCCTTGCTCCTAGGGATCAGACACGTGTCCCAAAGGCGGGAATGTGTCTGAAAGGAAGGGTCAATTTAGTTTGGGTTCTAATCATTCACCCATGCCTTTCGTTTGTTACAAGGGGACACCTAGGAATGGGAACCCCGTTTAGAGGGTGCTTACAGGGAAGCCGCAAGGACACCTATCAGTTTTTGGATCTCTTTTAGGACGGTTTGAAGTTTGGTTGGCCGTGCTGCAACCAATCAAGGATCCCTCCATTGCCTTTCGCCAATCGGAAAAGGACATGCGCCAAGCCACTCTTGACCGCTTTGTGACCCATTTTGCTGTAGCAAATCCATTTTGCCTCGTCTTTACATTTTTTCATGGCCGGAAAGGTCACTGGGAAGCCCTTGAGATCTCCCCGCTGAGACCCAGTTGCCATGAAGCATGCCAAGCGACCCATTGCATTTGATGTAGATGATGCAAATTGTGGGATGTGTTCGGAATTTATGGTAGACCCCAAGTGACCCATTGCATATGATGTAGATGAAACAATTTGTGGGATTCATGCTCAACAGAGCCCTCTACTTGGGGCTGGTATGGAATCCAGTGACCTTTGTCTTTGCCCTCAGCTCGAGTGCTCAGCTCTGTGAGGTGGCTGAGTTGACTGTCCATGGCGCTGCTGAAGTGTAGTCACTTCCGCTTGGCAGCGTCGCTCGTTTCGGATGTTTCGGCCACCTCTCGGGGAGACTAGCGACCATTCACTCTCTGGCCGCTAGGTCTGGGTGGGGTACAGCCACGCCCTACCTGACTCACGAGATCAGCAAATCCATTTTTTTGTGTTTTTGTTTTCTTCTTTTTTTCCGCTATAGTGATTCAACTTTTCAACTTGTTTCACTGCTACAAGGGCCACGTTTTCCTCATCCGCATCATTCTTCGGCACCTTTCTGGGTTGGATGGGCTGGAGGCATGGACGGCTTAGCCATGGCCTTGTGGGGCCTCTGGCACTCTGAGAGCGGGGGGCCTCAGTCTGATGGCAAAGTGGGGCGAGAAATCGCCTCAAGCCTTCCATCTGCTGAAGACTTGTGATTTTCCACTGTTGGTTCTAAAGGGAATCTAGGACTGCAGGAATATTCGGATTTTTCCCAGGGGACTTAAGCAAATGGATGAAACCCGTTGGTGGGCATAACCTCCCATAAAGATTGGGTGTCCACCAAAGTGACGGTAGAGTCTAACATACCCAAGTGTCGCTCATGTTGACTGCTTCAAGGACCCTCCTCCCCCAAAAAAGGAAGCGGCCTTCGCCCCAATCAGGGAGGGGCATGTTGCCTGACATATGGCCGAAAGAGTTTGTACGGTGCTCGTGCCTTTCTTTTGCACCGTGCAGTTTCTTTGTTTGAGAAGGGATGCAACACATGAGTGCAAGGGCCCATCGAAGCATCGAGGCTATTTGCTCGATGTGTTGAGTGCGATTCCGCCGGCCGAATCGCTCACAAGCATTCGACAAGCATCGAGAGTTGCAGTTGCAAGAGCTGTGGCTGTCAACATCATGGGCGACGAGGGCCAAAGATTCTACTCGCCAGGGTGTTCCTGCGCGCGAAATGTCTAGTGTATGTAGGCAGGTGCTTTTTGGAGTGCACTACTTTGTTTGGGTTGATTTAAAAGGATAACCGAGAGGAAGCCACCTAGTCGAGGCGGTTCCGTAGTTTGAGACACTCCCAATCTGAATAAGCGATTATTTGTTTTAGGGAGCTGACGGAAGGACACAAACAGCCAGCTTGGTGGGTTTGTCGCGAATTCGAGCTGTTGGCTTCAAACATGAGCAACGGACCCTGTACAGGGGTTCCTGGTGCCACTTGCAGACGCTTAACTATTGAACTGGCTCGTGATATGCCTAGTTGTGCTTGGGCACCAAAGCCGAAGGAGCGTCGTTCCCGTTTAACATAGTATGCTTTGAGGCGTCGGATGTTCTACTATGGTGCTGGGTTCGGTGGAATTGGGGGGAATCGACCTCACTGGACGCCAAACTGCGCCGAGACACATCGACGATGCAACGCCTGTGATGGTTTTTGCGTTTTCGTTGCCTGGGAATAGGCAACTGGTTGGGCTGGTGAGTCTAGCGGTTTACGCATGTCGTTGGAGCTGAGAAAGACCTTTTCAGAAGCCCGTGCTGCTTTTTTTCAGGTCCGGTGTTGGTGCCATTGCCAGACTTTGCTTACGCAACCTTTTTACCTTTGGGGGTTTCATTCGCTTCCCCTCTCGAGATGGTAGTCATGGAATCCGCTTGCCGCAGCCGTCCCGATGTCTGAGAAAGATGAGCATGTCGGCCGCACTCCAGCATAGCAGTTACCCTTGTAGCGGTGCGGATGAAAGCAAAGTGAGTGTTTTCAGCGCTGAGCATAGACATATCTCGCACATCCGCTCTGTGTTGGTCATACACCACAAGAGCCATAAACACATATTTCAACCAACCATCAATTTCGCCACCCTTGCGCTTGAAGCGACCCTTAATTTCCCCCCTCCCCCAGCGCTTGCACATAAGACAAGAGACGCCTCTTGTCCCAATCTTTAACAGGCACTATATCCCTCCCAACCCCTGGCAGGAAGGTCACTTCCCAATTTTCTAGCCAAGACCTCCCCAACACCTCCGGCTG